CCTCTCTCTCTCTCTCTCTCTCTCTCTCTCTCTCTCTCTCTCTTTATGGTTGTTTTTGCGGTCAGAATTTTACAAATTTTCATTTTTTTTGAGTTTGGTTTTCATGTAATTATCATCATCATCATAAAATAATGGTCATTAAAAACCATAAAAAAAACAACCGAAAAACTAATTTCAACCAAACCAAAAAAATTCATTCATTCATCAATTCATCGATCATTTTGAAGCCGTGAAAACAAAAAAAAATTGCTTCAAATGATCAAATAACCACAACCACAAACATCAAAAAAGAGGTACCAAATAACCAAAATGAAGAAATGATGAAAATTTCTAACATTCGGAAAAAGAAAAACAAACCTGGAAACCAAAAAAAAAAACAAGAGGCACTCTATGATTTAATTATCATTTTTGTAAGTTTAACAAATTTTTTTTCGGTCATCATTATTGAGCTCCGGTTATCTATCAATATGTAGTTGGTGGATTGTGAAAAGTTTCACCAGGTTACATTCATAATTGATGGAGAAAAAAAAACCAAGAGGCCCTCGTGAAAAAACCATTGCATTAAATGAAAAGACCAAAAACGATGATGATAATGATAAAAATGATGATGATCATCATCATCATTATCTTTATGGTTATTTTCAGTGAAACAATAAAGGATTTACTTACATTCAAAACTTTGAAGAATTTTTGCTTTTTCGCCTCTTTGATGAAATGAGAAACACAAAAATGCAAGCAAATTTTGCTGTTGCTCAATATCGAATGATAATTTTGTGGGGGGATGTTGAATTCAACTCTTTTTTTCCAGATCCGGAATTTTCTATTTTTCGTTTGTTCGAATCATTATTTGATATGGAAAATTACTACTACCATAAGTATGATTCTTGTTGAATTCTTATCTAAAAGTAATAAAATTCTGTAAGAAACAAAAAAAACTGGGAAATAATTTGATCAACACTAATGTTCTCTCTCTCTCTCTTTGATGATGATGATGATGATTTTAAATTTGTTTGACTGTCACTATCATCATCATCATCCATAATCACCCATCATGATAATGATAATGATAATGACAATGATGATTATAATGATGATTTACTGAATGATTTTTGTTGCTTGTTTTTTTTGACCAACTTCAAAAATCTTTATATCATATATAAAGTCATCAATAAACTTGAAAATCAAATAACTATGATATAATAATGATGACTTATAATAATAACCCATTATAAACCAACAAACCATAACCGAAAAAAATAATAATAACAAGCAAAACAAATAAGAGGGGAAAAAACAGAAGAAGAAGAAGAAGAAGAAGAAGAAAATTTACAGTAGCCGATTTGTCATTGCCGGTAATGTTATTATTATTGTCATTATTTTCAAAGTTGATTCGATGTTTTTTGTTCTGCTGTTGTTGCTTGAACCAAAAAGACATTATGAAAAATTCTATTGTTTTTTTCATCCATTCATTCTTACTTACTGAAAAAAAGCAAAAACAAAATCATTATCATCATCGTTATTATAATGATGATGATCAACAACAATCATAATATCACCACATAAAGACGACAACCATTATCATCAGTTATCAATGATGACGAGAAAAAAGATGTCGAGAAAAAAAAATATATTAAACAACAGCAGCAATTTTAAAATCATTTCAATATGAAAATCATCGATTGTAATGCATCGATAATTTGTTATCGATATAATTACAAAAATTCTTGTCAAAAAACAAAAAAAAAATTCTTGTAAAAAACAAAAAACAAATTCTAATAACATTCGAATTTCGAATGAATTTGTTATTCTGAAACAGAAAAAAATAAATTCTCAAAACAACGCCATCTATGAATGAAATTCCATAATATTAGCGGTATGTATTCGAAACAAAAACAAGAATCTTTTAGCAGCTGTTTTCAAATCAAAATGATGATGGTCAAATTCTAAATGATTATTATCAAAATAAAGTAAAAATATTTTTGTTTAAAATTGTCCATCATCATCATCATCATCATTGCTTAATAAAAAAGGTTTGTCTTTTTGCCACCGACCGACAAACAAACAAAAATTTTATTACATAAGTACAGATTTATTTATAATAAAAAAAATGTAATCAAAAATAATTAAAAACGAACGAACGTCTTAATGATTATATATAGTCTATATACTTAAAAGATCATTGATAAATAAAAACCATATCACATGAAAAGTTTAACCTTTATTGATCATTGTTCAAACAACGATTTTAAAAAATAAAAAAATCTATGGTCACATTTGATGATTATTGTCATTGACTACAATTTGAATGAAGAAGAAAAAGCTTTTTTGATAATCAACAATCATCAATCATCAATGTAAACATAATTTATTGCCAAAATTCCAACTATTGAAAATAAACGACAGAGAGAGCAAACGGATATAATTGATGATTATCAAAACAATAATCAATATTCGATAAAAGTCTTTATATTTTTTTTAATGATATAATTTTGTGGGTGTTTTTTTTTCTAAATGCAAAAACAACAACAACAAATTTATGGTTAATTTCCAAAAGTCATCGTGTGTCGTCTAACATTTTTTTTTTGAATGGTTTATTTTTATTTGAAAAGATTTTTCTGCTTTCTTTCTTTCTTTGCTTGCTTATCTCCTTATCTTATTTAATAATGATGATAATGATTTAATGAAGAAAACAAAAAACAAAAATTATATTGTAAACGTTAGATGGCTGAGCTGCTATTGGAATTTTTTTTGTTTCTTTTTGGATGAGCAAAATATATTTGATCATCATCATCATCATCATTCGTTATTTTGCCATCCTCCACACGTTTCGTTTTAATCCAATTTTTCCCAAAAAACTTCTTTTTTTCTTTATTTCTTTAGTTTTTTCTTACAGTCAAAACAAATCTTTGCTTGTAAATCTAATTTGAATAATTTTTTTGTTTTGTTGATTTGATCCTATAGAAATTACGATTGAAAAAGTTTAAAAAAGATTCATCATCATGCCTCATAGGTAAGCTGTCTTTTTGTTTGTGTTGCTCAATTTTGAATAATTTTTTTTTTGTTGTTTTTGAAAAGATTCGGTATAAATTTAGCACCAAATTCAACTGATAAAAAATGTGATGCATTCATTATAATATCATATGATGATAAGCTAACATTTACACGTGAATTGGAACAATATAGAAAATTAATTGATGAACAAAAAGAATATGATATAAAATATCAGATTGAAGGTGGAATGATTGTTTTACCAAGTAGTTCATTTAAACGTTTAATTTATACACCGGTTGGACCTATCGATAGAGATTTTGATGATGTACGTACATTTATGGATGCTGCAACAAGAGGTTTATCTCGTGCATTGAAAGCTGGTGCACGAATGCCATTAATTGTATTACCATCGAATAATGGTTTTAATGAACAATATTCATTATATGATTTATCAATTTTACTTGGTGTTTATCAAATTCTTTATGTACCATTGGAAAATCGTGAATTTAAAAATTTAACTAAAGTTGATTTTATTGATTTTACAAATTTCTGTGATGTTGAACGTGAAACAAAAATCATGAAAATTGCCAAAGCAATTGAATGTGGACGTGGTGTTGCAAGAGATATTGGTGGATCTGATCCAGAACGAATGAGTGCACCAAACACAGCAAGCTATATTGAAGCTTTATTTGAAAATTCATCGATCAAAGTTGAAGTGATTAGTGATTTGAAAATAATTGAAAAAGAATTTCCTTGTTTAGGTAAGTGTGTTAGGTTAAACATTTTATTGGTTAAATCCAATGAAAATCTATTCATTTATCTGAAAATTTAGCTGCCGTAAATCGTGCAAGTGTTGAACGTCATGCAGCTCGTGTGATATTTTTATCATATGAACCGGAAGAAACACCTGAAAAGACAATATTTTTGGTTGGAAAAGGTGTTACATATGATACTGGTGGATGTGATATCAAATCTGGTGGTGTAATGGCCGGTATGCATCGTGATAAATGTGGTGCTGCTGCTGTTGCTGGTTTTCTTGAAACAGTTAACAAATTGAAACCGAAAAAAATTCGTGTTTATGGTGCAATGGCTATGGTTAGAAATAGTATTGGTCCAAATGGTTATGTTGCCGATGAATTGATTGTATCACGTGCTGGTGTACGAATTCGTATCGGTAATACTGATGCTGAAGGTCGTATGGCTATGGTTGATTTGCTTACATATTATAAAGAGAAAATTATTGCCGAAAATATACAAAATGCTGAAATGTTTACTATTGCAACATTGACTGGTCATTGTTGTATGGCTGTTGGTTTTGAATATTCAATCATATTGGATAATGGTCCGGCAAGAAAAAAGAAAACAGCACAATTAATTCAGGCAGCAGGTGATCGTGTTGGTGATTTATTCGAAGTATCAACTATTCGTCGTGAAGATTTTAAATTCAATGAAGGCAAATCTGAATATGAAGAAATTCTTCAAAGTAATAATGCACCATCATCAAGAACGCCACGTGGTCATCAAATACCTGCTGCTTTTTTGATTCAGGTTTCAAAATTGGATCAACATGGAATCGATTCTGATTTGCCAATACCATTTTCACATATCGATATTGCCGGTTCATCAGGATCTTTCCCAGGTGTACCGACTGGTGCTCCAATACGTAAGCAAAATATTAATTTGGGGTTTTTTTTCCTATATTAATTTGATTGATTTTTTCCCCTATTTAGCCGCATTAACTGCTCGATATTTGATTGATGAATTTTAATTTCAAAAAAAAAAACAAAAAAATAATAATTTAATTTAATTTGTTTCAAGCAAATTATTAACAACACCTGCAAATAAAATAACTTTTCGTTGTTCTTTTATATTACAGGTAACAAAATAAATAAATGGCCTATTAAATGCAACTGATAATACTGTTGTACTTTTTTTACCTCCAGTCTTTTTATTTGTACTACTACTACTGCTTTTACTTTTACTTGATTCTTGACTGACGGTTTTTTCTTTAAAATTTCCATTCAAACTAATTTCCGAATTGAATATTATTGATTCAAGACATAAACCTTTTGGATTTGTTGATAAGCCACTAAAATCCGCTTCATCTTGATCGAAAATTTTTTGTATACCAATAATTTGCCAAACATAAGCTAAATCGATATTCATTTTAAGTTTTATAATTGGAATTTTTATCTCCAATTGTTTCAATGCCATCAATTTGGATATTGATTGAAGTTTATTCTGTGATAATTGATTAATTATATCACGTGGACTAGAACCTTCTTTTGGTAGAATTAATATTAAATTTAGATTTGCATTTATATATGATAATTCTACACATGTATAACCTTGTTCATTATCATGATAATATTTAAATTGGCCATTATGTACTGAAAATGAAATATCCATTGCTTTATCATATTCGGTGGTTGTTGCAATGCTTGTTCTACCTTCATAAGAACTTTTAAACAATTGTTTCAATTGTTTGGATGATGTTGCCGATGAAATTGATTGACGTGATTCATTTACTTGTAATGTAGTGCTATTAATCAATAACATATTCGATACGGTTGGTACATTTTGTATTACTTTATTAATACGTCCCATTGTAGCATCACTGTAATTATAATTTTAGAAAATGATATTTTCAATTAGAATTACAAATTACCTGACTTCAGCATCGATCATATTGTATAGTTCAAGACTTGTATCTTCAAAATTTACCAGTTTAAGACTGGTATCAAGATTTTTCGTAACATTATTCATATATTGTTCGTTTAGCTTGTATTTGGAAGAAATATAGATAAAATTATACATTTTAAATTCCATATCTTGTAATGATTTAATTTCGCTTATAATCGACTTTAATGCACTGGAAAAATCATTAATATTTCTTAAACTAATTTTCATATCGAAAATACTATCTCTCATTTCATCGAATGATGCATTTTTAACACCGGATAATATACTTAATGCAGCTATTTCCAATGATAATGGTGACAATACAATGTTTGTTGTTTCTCGATAAAGAAAACGCATAAGTTCCAATGAAAAATTAATACATTTAGCCATTTTTTCACAAACAATTTTTTTTCTTAATTCGATTGATTATTTGAAAAGTTTTGAACTTTTATTTCATTTTATGGCAATTGTTTGGCGCTTGTTTATTTTTGGAATTTTTTTTTCAATTATTCGATTTAACTATTTCAATCATAATGTTCGGCTACTGTTGAAATAGTAAATCACTACATGTGTTTGAAAAAAAAATAAATGAATTTTTGTTTTTCCATTTTTTGTAATTGTTGAAAATGAGTTTCATTTTACAATTTCATCGGCAAATTCGCCGTTACATTTATAATCCAGTTTATAAAGGACCATTTGAATATAAGAAAAAAGATACAAAAATGTATAATTATCCATTCGGTATCAATAAAGGTCGATTAGAGGAAAAATTTGCTGAAATCAATGAAATTCGTGCTAAACCATTAAATGATGAAGATATTTCACCATTTCATTTGGTCTGGAGATATAAACATCTATATGGTAATCCTTGGAATCATAAATTAATTCTTAAACGTTTAGGATTACATCGATTACATATGAAATCACCGGTTATCATACCAAATACACCACATTATAATAGTATGCTTTGGGAGATTAAACATTTGATTCGTTTGAAACCATTAAAATTTCCCGATGGATTACCAACTGAAGATGATTTAGGTTCAATTAAAGTTGATTTAGAAACAGGTGAAATGCGTATTAATCGTGCATTTCGTATACCAAAAGAATCATTGGATAAAAGTGATCCACCACCATTATTTCGTGGAAAATATTTACGTGAATATTTAAAATGGTCATCCGGTTTGATTGGTTTTTCCTTACCACATCATGATATTGATGATAAAGATGGTAATCGTATTGAAGATTATGATAGAAAAATGAAAAATTATTATCAACATCAACATGTATATTATAATAACAATAATAATAATGGCAAAAAGTAATTTTTACAAAAATAAAAATTTAATTAAAAAATCATTAATTAAACTACATATTTTAATTGTTTATAAAATTCCAATGCATCATGGTCAATAATTATATTGTCAATATTAAAATTAAGTATTTTAATATTATCTAATGATGTAGAACGAGATAATGCGACATATGCTTGACCTGATTCAAAAATTTTTGCCAATGATATTTCAACACCATTCGTTATAGTCATACCTTGTGATTTATGTACGGATAATGCCCATGCTAATTGTAATGGTAAATGTTTTCGATAAACAGTAAAATTATCTTGTAAACGAAATGACCATTTATCATAATCGATTATTGTTTCAATACCATTAATAAAACGTATTCTTGGAAGTAATTGTTGTTGTTGTTGTTGAGAACCTAATCCATTTGATTCACATTCAAAACCAATAACAATACCGGTCATACCATTACAAAGTCCACGATTTAAATCTAAATTTTTATTCAACATAACTTGTGCACCGATTTTCAATTCAAGACGACGTGGTGTTGGACAAAGTGAATCAAGTATTTCACTATAAATACCATTACTATCTTCAGCCAAAAAATATTGTGATTTTGTTTGAATTTTTAATAATTGATTTGTATTCACTGTATCAACATCTTGACGTAATGGAAATAATTGTGTTGGTATTGAATTATTTTTTCTTAAATCATTTTCAGTTGTTTTAAGTAATGTTTCACGAACTAAATTATTCATTTTACCAACACGTATCATTTGTAAAATGTTAATAAATATTTTATCTGTTTGTCGTTGAATTTTTCTTAATTCAAAATAATATTTTATACAATCTTTCCATGCTTTACATTGAAATGCATGTTGTTTTTTTTCTTGTGATCTTCTAGAAATTGGTGGTAATTGTAGAAAATCACCACAAACAACCAATTGTATACCACCGAATGGAGAATTTCGTTTTCGTATAATTCGTGCTACTTTATCAAGTGTTTCAAAATAATCACCCGGTACCATTGATATTTCATCAATAATTAAACATTTACAATTTTTCCAACGTTGTAATTTAAGTTCATTTTTACATAAACGTAAAACAATTTCTTGTGGTGTTAGTTTTCGTTGCATCGAATCGATTTGTTGCATTTCTAACCAACTAACAGGAATACCGGAAAATAAATGCAATGTAATACCATTGATTTGACATGCAGCAATTCCTGTGCTAGCTGTAACAAAAGTTGAATCCGGTGGAAGACGACTAATTATAAATTTGAGTAGATAAGATTTTCCTGTACCAGCACTACCAGTAAAAAAAACACTTTGTCCATGTAAAACAGCACTAACAACTTTTGATTGATCATCAGTTAGATTGGTTGCATTTAAAACTTTTAATGCACGAATTGGTGATGGTATAATTGATGATAACATTTTACGTTTAGTTTTTGGACTAGATTCAGAAATTTGTTCCAAAACTATAGATCGAAAAAAAGGAAATTATTTTTATTTTATTCAAATCAAATTCATTCACTTACTTGTATCAAGTTTTCGTTTTGAAAAATTACCATTTTTAGCTGCTAATGGTGAAGTAACTTGTTGATTTTTTTCCATTCTCTTATTATTATTATTATTACAATTCGATTGTTGTAGATTGGTACGATCACGAAATGATATAGCTTTAATAAAATCATTACCAGTTAATGGACTTATTTTTTCAATATTTGAATTTCTTGATTTATTTAATCGAAGATTAGCTATATTTGGATTCGAATTGAATAGTTGACATTTACTATTGGTGGTAGTGTTGGTTAATTGATCATTATTACTACATTTTAAACAAAATCCTTTTAAAAATAATGATAAATCATTTGATGGACAATTCGATATGAAAAGACGAATATTATAATCATTGAGCAGAATTGAACATTTTCCTTCGTTTACAAATCGTGTATTCAAACGATAATTTCCTTTATTTTTAGCCATTGTAAAACGTTTTGTTTCTTTTGTTTTATCATTACAAACTAATAGAACACAATCACCACAATTATTACGACATAAACATAATCGACCATTTGTTATTGTTGATTTATTTAATAATGATCCATTTGATGATAAATTTTCTAAATTTATTAGACATTTTATTTCAGGTATTTCGACACTCATTTTGGTTACAAGAAAAAATCAAAACCAAAAAACCAAAAAAAAACAGTCGAAAAAATTCAAAAAATCAAATCGAAAAAAATCAACGAACAAAAATTCTGTCTCGTAAATAAACAACGTATCGTATGTTTGCCACGAAAGTAATATTGAGCAATTTTTTGACAAGCAAGAGCTAGCGGTCATCGCACGATTGACGTATACACATCAATATATGCGAATGATGGCAGTGGGCCTTGGCTAGTTTTTTTTTGTCCATCGGGTCAATTTCATCGGGTTCTCCTGCTAAATTCTACCCTTTTTTTCTGGTTTTTGGTTCCAAACATATCTTTGATTTTTTCAAGAAAAAAAACCTTTTCAGTATTCGTAATTCAGTATTCCAAATTTCGATCAACAAGTTGTAAACTTTTTTCCGGAATATTTCATCGAAAAAATCCAATTCCAATTCTTTTTCGGTTAACCAAAATTGTGATATCAAATTTTTTTCATCGTCATCATCATCATCATCGTTACATTGAAATCTTAATGAATCATTCGATTCGATTTTTTTTTTTGACGATTCACTGTGGTTAGAATCTCTGATTAACTAACTAAACTGTATTGAATATTTGTATCTATTAACAACCAAACATAACCAAGGTTTGTTTTTTGTCAATATCGTTTATTGGTTTTTATATTAAAAAAATTTTGTCTTTTAGTTTCTCTCTCCGTATATTTGTGTTCTCAATATTCGCAATCAATCTATCTATCGATAATTTATTATCCATACGTCAAGTGGATTAACCTTCTTCTTGCTGCTCAACTCATATTTCATTGTTTGTTTGTTTTGTTTTTTCGTCATTAAACCAAATAACTGTTTATGATCTACATTTTTTTCTGTTTTTTGTTGCTGAATTGTAATGGATAATCACTGTAGCAGCGGTAGCAATGGTGATGATCTTTTATTAAACAACAAAAACAACAACGTTGATTTAGATGATGCTGATGATAATAATATAATGAATGCATCACTGATATTACATATGGCATTACAAAAAATGGATAATATTATTGCAAGTAAGTAGATAGATTTTTTCCGCAAATAAATTTGATTAAAATTTCAAAAATTTTCTAGCCAATAATGAAATTGATCCAATGATCAATTCGACAAATACAAATACAAATCATGAAAATTTGAATGGAAAAGATTCATCTGATCAACAACAACAAAATGGCCACATAAAACAACAAGAGAAAAAACATTTTGAACAAAAACAAGATAAATTGAATCGTTTATTACAAGAATTAAAAGAATATTCTAATGATAATGATGATGATTTACATACATCATCATTGGATGAAAATCAAGATGAATCTGCTAAATCAAAATCAACGAAAGACGATAATGATGATGATGGCGATGAAGGAGATGTAAATCAAAATGTAAGTGAGAAAAAGATAATTTGCACAGAAACAAACAAACAAACAAACATCCTGGATAGATGGCAGAAGATGTAATTAAATTACATTTTTTCGTTATCGATAATTTGATATTACGTTGATAATCAATATTCAAAAATGTGATAACACATGACAATGTAAATTGACATTGATATCTCACTTGATAATGATTTTCTTTTTAAAATTACTTTCAAGTATCTCTACCCAAGAAAAAAAAAGAAACTGTCCATGGATTCAACATGGAACAGTTTCTGTTGTGTGTAGGTGGTTATGGTTATGAATAATCATTGAATCTGACAATTTTCGTTTCCACAAATCTTATAATCATCATTGTTATAAATGATCATTTATGGACATGATGAACATTTACAAACCACACCAGAACATAAATTAGATTTTTCTGTTGTTGTTGTTGTTTCCAATATGAAAAATTTTTCCAAGATGGATGATGATTTTGATGTTTGAAAAGATCAAGTACACACAACTCTGAATATATAGAGAGAGAGAGAGAAAAGAATGTGTGTGTGGGTTTTGGGCTTTTTTTTTAATTTTAATACTTTTTTTCCTGGCTATTTTGCTGCTGTCGTCATTATCATCATAATTCATTCATGATGTTTTCATTCAAAAAAAAAAAAAAAATGAAATGAAATTTTCTCTGAATGAATTTTGTTGTTGTTGGATGCAATGATCTAACAACAACAACAACAACAAGAAAGTCTATTATGTTCAACAACAACAAGAGACGAATGAAGAAGAAGAAGAAGAAAAACTTCCATTCATTTGATATTGAATTTAATGCGAAAAAATATGACATGATGACATCATCCACAAGATGAATATTTTTCTCTTTCTTTCTTTTCAATGAGCAAATTCCTGATAGATTTGATCATCGTTTTGACTGAAAAAAATTTGACAATTTTTTTTCAGTGTTTTTTTTCTATTCGTTCAATCGGATCATCACGAAATTTTTTTGTTTTTCTTTCGCAAAAAACTATTGGTCATTTCATCATTGGTCAAGTGTCGAGTGTGTGTGATTGTGATTGTTTGACCACAACAACATCATTCTCAACGATAATCATTATTTTGTTGTTGTTGTTGCTGTTGTTTATCTACATCTTTTGCTCTGAAAAAAAAATTGAAAAATAATAATAAGTTTTTTTTTGATTGAAATAACAATTTGACAACCTGAAATAATGATGATAATAGTGATGTTTTGTTCGGGTTAGCTGATCAAATTAGACTTCTGTACTTGTTGTTGTTGTTGATGTGTGTTTGATGTCTATCAAGTGAAACAAAATTTCTTTGAACATCCCGAATTTGGTGGTGAGTTTTGCTTTTTCGTTTTTTGTTACCTCATTTTTCCTCAACTGTACTTTAGTTTGGTCGAAATGAATGATTTTGTCTTTCAAACCAAACCAAATAGGAAAAAAAACATTTATCAAATTTTTCATCTATCAAATGATAAATTGTTTGACATGATTTTCTTTCATTTCATTCGGTAATTTCGATCTAAATCTTGTCTTTTTTTCCTGTTTTTTTAACGTGAAAAATACCCGCAATTTTGCACTGATAATTTAGTCTAGTTTTTTGTGTTGTTATTTAGCAAATTAGCGGAAAACTACAGACGACGAAAGTCGAAAATAATCAATTCGAACGAAAATATGAATAAGCTTTCCCATGCATAGACACTGACAGTTTCGATATTTCGATGTTTTCGATGTTTTTTTTTCGAATGATCGAAAAAAAGTTACAAAGTACCATAAAAAATATATTTAGATATTTTGTTGTTGTTGTTGTTGTTGTCGACATTCATTTTCAACAACAACAACAAAAACAACAACAAAAAAATATAACTGAACTGAATTCAATGATTGACCAATTGATCTATGAATGAATGAATGAATGAATGAAGAAGAAGCGAGAGAGAAAACAATAAAAATTACCTTTACCTAACATGACATGACATGACATGATTTGTTTTTTGTCTAATTCCTTAACTGTATGTTTTTTGTTGTTGTTCAAATGATTTTCAATTGTTTTGTTTTCTTGTATATGTTTTTGTATGAATTTGTCACCAGAATAATTCTATTTATAAACATTGTTGATTTTTGTCCATTCTATGCAGAATTCGTAAAAAAACTTTGACGAATTGGATTTTTGTTTATTGCAAATACACAAATATGATGCACAATGTTGACAAAAAAAAATAATTCCTGAATCAAATAATCATTGATCGAAATGGATGTAGCGAAACAAAAAATTGATATAAATTTTTTCAAACAAGTAAAATCAAATTCTCTTTCTTTCTTTCTCTCGTTCATATTTGATATGTCATTTTTATTTCAAACGGAAAACATAGATCATCCTCAAACTTTTCTTCTTTTCTCCAAATTCACTTGTTGTCGTTGATGATGGTTATATTTTTATCACGCAGACAGACACAGACTTGAAATGAACAAAAATATACGAAAAAAAAACTATTTTCAAACTACAAGAAAAATTCTTATTTCCCGAACTATTTTTGAAGCTATAGCTTTGAAGAGATACACAACAACAACCAAACCATCCAACTTCTTACAAAAACCAAACCAAACCAAACAATCAAAAGAAGCTGAACTAAAATGAAAGAAGAAGAAGAAAATTTTCATAATAAAACCATGAACAACGATAATGATGATGATGAAGAGAAACATAACAGAAAAAATTGAATGAGGATAAGCAAAAAAAAAAAGCATCTTCGTCTTGATTCTTTTCAGTAAGATTTGACTGAAGATATTCACACACATAACACACACAACGTATATGAATTCGTAAATGTTATGAATATGATGATGCATCTGTGTGTGTGCTTGGATGCTGTAAACACATTTACACACACCGGTGTGTTTGTCGATTTGGTGCCGAATCTTTTTTTCCTTCTTCTTCTTGCTTGTGTTATATAAGAAAAAAGTGTGAATTACGGCATTCATTAATAAAGGCATTAATTCATTGTTTTGTTTGAGTGTAATTGAATGGATGATGATGAAGATTTGTTTAAAAAAAAAACTTTTTTGCAAGTGATTTTCGTAAAAGAAAAATATATCTGCGTTTTTTCATGTACCTTATGTACAACATTGCCGTATGGTGTGAATGCCAAGAAAAATGAAATTGAAAATGAAGAAATTCAATGTTCTTTGAACATTTGATGTGTTTGTTTGATGTGTTTGCCGAAATTGTAATCCTGCTGCTGTTTAGATTCAACAAATGTTTTTTTCGTTGTTGTTTTTTGTTTCAAATTTGTTTTCCACAATACAATTTCTTTCCTCTAATTAAAACGAGGCCGAAATAAATAGTGATAATAACAACATCTGAACAACTAATAATCGATATTTGAAAAAACTTGAAAAATGAAAATAATTTATACAGTTATGTGATGGCTGGCAAGATGTTTTAAGTTTGTTTTTCTTGAATTTTTTTTGTTTTTGTTTTTGATGGTCACTGGATTTTCATCGATCATCATATTCAATTCAATATATAGTACACCTTTAACTCTGAATGATGATGATCATCATCATCATCATTGAAAATCGTCATCATCATCATTATTATGGTGATGGTGGTATACGGTGATCATTCTGATCATCATCATCATCGATCATCATTGACATCCATATAAAGGAAAATAAATCAACAGCAATAATCAATCTAGTCATCATTATCAATATGCTTGTTTTCGTTGTTGTCGTTGTTTGATGAAGAAAACAAAAATCCATGAATTTTTGTGAATTTTTTGCAATAAAAAAGTCTTGTTTCTTTCATTTTGGTCATAATTATTCATCATCAAGCAAACAAACAAACAAAAAATGATAATTAAATCTTAAATGAAATGACAATAACTGGGTAAAAAAACAAACACGAAATCCAAAAACAACAACATTGTACCGGAACTAAATTGTTACGTTTGGAACGATAACAAACGCCAAAAAAAACGTGCCTGATGATGAAGAAATCCTCTCATAATCATCATCATCATCACCATCATCATCATCGGCATCAAGAAGACGATCCTGTTAGCCACAATACGAATGTGAATGAAGTTAATGATGATGATAAAGGTGGTGGTGGTGGTGGTGGTGGCAAATGTAAAAAAAGGTCGAATAAACATCATCATCATCACCATCACCATCACCATCAACATCAACAACAACAACAACATCGAACAAGCAACAAAAACGAGTTAAAACATCAAAAATCTGTTACATCCAATGATGATGATAATGATGGCGGCGGCGATGGCAAAGATGAACTATCAGACTCTACAGTAACAACAACAACAACAACATCTAAATCAACATCAACATCAACAACCATTGGCTCTTCAGAACATGATTTGTCTAATGCAACAGCTACTAATGTATTAGATAATAAAGAAAATAAAAATCTTCTTCTTCTTCGGGCTACCGATGATGATGATGATGATGTCCATGCAACAAGTAATGTTACCATTAATAGATTATCATTGATGCAACAACAGCAACATAAACACCATCATCATTATCAATATGATCATCATCATACTGAACAACTATTAAATAGAAGACCATCTCGTACATTAAGCGAACCAATCGATGATTATGATTTAAATGTACGTTCAAAAGCAATAAACCATAATAAACCTCATCATTATCATCATCATCAACATCATTATCACCATCCTAATCAATCACCATCATCATCATTTCATCAATATCATCGAGCTTCTGTTGATCCATATTTATTGGAAGAAGTGGCCAGAAATCTTGGTTATTCATCAACATCTTTACCAAAACATCAACATCAACAACACCAGCAACATTATTCAATAAATCCAGTATTGAAAAATTTTCAAATTACAAATTGTAATGATAATAACATGTCTATGGAATCATTAGCATATCTTCAACAACAACAACAACAACAATTAGCCGGTAATATACCTGGTGGATCAATGTTTTCATTGAATACAATTCCATTCAATCATCCTTATCATTATAATAATTATCATAATATATATCAGCCACAACAACAACAACAATATCATCAACAACAACAACAACAACAACAAAGATCATCATCACCATCATCATCTTATTATCGAAATAATAATAATTGTTGTCGTGGGTCGATATGTAATGATTATATGAATATTGGTGGTGGCGTTGGTGGCGGTTATCCTTCAATTTCTTCACCTTATCATTCGAATCCATATTTTTGTGATTCACAATTACATCATGTAACAAATACAACACCATCATCATCGGTAAACATGAATAATAATAATAATAATAATAATATGGCGGGATCTTATTATTTGAATAATGATTATATAACTAATTCCTCATCAATGTTAACTAACTCTTATGCAATGAATTTTAATCATTCATATCCTAATCTTGCTTCAATATTACCACCAACATCATCATCATTACAACAACAACAATCCACAATTCAACAAAATAATTCATATTTAAGCCAAATAAACCTACGAAAGGTTAATTTTTAACATAATTAATTTTTTGTTTGAAAAATTTCATTACTGTTTTTCTTTTTTTGGATATTTTGACCAGATTAGCTTGTTTTTTCTTTGTTTCAAGAAGCTTTTTCTAACTAAAAAGTTCTGCTTTTTCTCCTTCATTTACATAGATCATCAATAATAATGGTAAAAACAGCAACAATAATAATAACCCTTCAGCACAAACAACAGAATATCTAGTTGATACAATCAATACAAGTCCAGATTCAGTAGCAAATAATAAAGTTAATAATAATAATTTATTTTATTCATCAATGGAAAAATCATCATCCGATGATCATCAACAACAGGTATGTTTATTTTTGTTTTGAATTGGAAAATTTACCTGAAATTTCCAAAAAAAAAAGATTACGATTCTAAATTTAAATCCGTTTTTTCTTTTTTTTGCTAAATTATCACTAATGAAACAGACAAAAAAAAATTGACAAAATTTATCACCAAATGTTTATGTTTTTTCTAATCTTTATCACCATCATCAACATCATTATGATAATCATACCGAAAATAAACAAACAAACAAACAAACAAACATCCTGATTCGGTCACATTTTGAAAAAATGTTCTATTTTTGAATTTGAAAAAAAGAAGATGTTAATTATTGTTTGTTTGTTTGTTTGTTTGCTTGCTTGTTATCACTTTGAATGAAATGTTTTATATAACATCAGATATTTCGTAATAAACATGGATAACTGATTTCCAATATTGATTTTCATTTTATTGCACTTCTTTCTGTTCAGATGTTATTCGCATGTTTTCATTCATTCATTCATTAAAAAAAATCATTCGATAGCAAATTAGTGTAATCCGAAAAATTTCAAATAAATTGTTAATTTGAGAAGCAAATGAAAAAAAGGGAAAAAATCTTTCCAAATGATGATTGCATTGGCGGTGGTAGGATATCAAATGTTTTTCGATATAATTTAGATTTGCCAGTGTGTGCGTGTTGTATGTCTTAGATAAAAAAAAATTTTTTTGATGATGAAAGTTTAATATAAGGATATTAGTTTTCGCTAAAAAATATGCCCCAAATTTTTCTTTTTATAAATATGTTTGCTTTCCAGAGAAAGCTTTTCATGCTTGATTTGTTGTCAAAAAATGTTTTTTTCCTGATTTTTCCCGTTTACTTTTTTTTGTTGTTGAAAAAATACCAACTTTTTTTCACTGAAATATTTTCTAATGGATTTTTATTTGTTTCAATCACAGCATGTAAAACAACAACCAAATGATGAACAACAATATCAACATTTGAATGGAAAAATGGAAAAAATTATTCAATTAGAATCAATGATAAATATATTAAGAAATCAATTATTTAATACTGAAGATTTATTTAAAAAAGCATTAATATCAAAAAAATCATTAGAAAATGCAAACTGTGATCTATTGACAATAGTGGATAAATTAAAATTGGATTTAATACATTTTGAAAGTCAACAAAAAATTTTAAAAGAACAAAATTTGAAAATTGAAAATGAATTTGAACAATTGAAAACACGTTTATTGGAAAAAGATACTGAAATATCATCATTACGTTTGACAATGGCAAAAATTGTTCGTACTACTGGTTATGTATTATCGGATAATGAATTATCATTACTCAGAGGTAAAACTATTGCAAGTGATTATATTAAAAATGTAAGTTGTAAAAAATAAATCGATGAATGATGGTTGGTTGGTTGGTGGTGATAAAAATCTAAAAATAGATATTATAAATAAATAAATAATTTTCTTTTTCTTCATTTCAATATTTTTAAATCTAGAAAATGAAAGAAAATTATCATGAATTGATGTTTGGCCCATTTGTACGAAATACAAATTATTTTTATTCAGAACCACCATCTCGTCGTGAATCAAGTGGTGGTGGTGGTGGTATCTTGTCGATAAGTGGTGGCCGTTATTCACCAGTAGCACCACCAAGATCACATAGGAATAATAATCAACAACAACAACAACAATCACCAACAATAGCCGACCAACAACAACAACAATCATTATCAATTCATAATTCACCACCGATGATGATAGCATCATCATTCGATAACAATCGAAATCATCATGAAGAAGAACAACAATCAAAACAACAACCAATGTTAAGACGTTCAACTTCATTTGAAGATATGAAGATGGATAGTCAACATTTGTTGAATGAAAATATTAATAATAATGATCATCATCATCATAATAAAGATAATAAAAATTCATTTTCAACACTGCCACATAATTCAAAAGCAATGAGACAAATTCAACGACAATTTGAATTGGAAAATAATCATCATCAACATCAGTCAGCCATCACAACAAATCCAATGTCACAATCATTGATCGATGAAGAACAAATGATGATGATGATGATGACGCCGAATAACAATAACAATAAGGCATTTTCAACACCTAATTCTCCAATGATTACACTTAAACCACAGCCAAATCGTCCTCATCATCAAAATAATAATAAAGAATCACCTGGATTTGGTGTTACATTTGGTAAAAAATTTTGTTGGTTGAAGAAAAGTAAAAGAGCAGCCAGTGCGCCAGAATTAGGTGAAAGAAGTTTTTTTCCATATTTTTTAAAAAAATTCTTGGTTAAATTAACGCTTCTATAAAAATTTAGTTAATGAACATTACTGCTTTTTTAACTGGTTTGCGCTGAGCTTATTTCGTTTTTTTGAAATTGCATTTGATTTTTGTTTTTTAATTCAAAAAAAATACATATCTTTACTGATCTTTATTTTTATTTTATTTACAGCTCAAGATGATGAAATGATATCACGCAATAATACAGTAATTACTCCACGAATCAATTTGGATGATTCAAAACCGAAAGGATTGAGAAGAATTTTTTCCAGGTATTTCCACATATGGCACTTTGATTTGTAATTTTTTTAATTTGATTTTGATTTTGAAATGAAAATAGAAAACGAAGCACATCTTCATTGGCTGGAATTTCGGATTCATTTTCACGTGGTGGATTACGAGCTACATCTGGACCTAGACTTGGTTTTAGTCAAGAGAAAAAATTCCAAAAGTTAGTTTGTTTTACATCATTATAAATAGCCATTAATCTACTTGTCTTATCTTTTTTTGCAGTGTTAACATACCATTTTCAAATTGGGGAACAACATTGGTGGCCGATTGGTTTGCTTTAATCGGATTGGGAATGTATGTTAATGAATGTAAACGTTGGTGTAAAGATGGTGAACATCTAATGAAAGCATCATCATTGGAAGTTGAAAAAGAATTGGGTATTAAAAATTCATTACATCGAAAAAAATTACGATTAGCAGTTGCTTCGATGAATGAAGAGGAAGATGACCTATTGAAATGTGCTGGAAAATTGGATTATTTATGGGTAGCAAGATGGTTAGATGATATTGGCCTACCACAATACAAAGAATCATTTATTGATGCACGTGTTGATGGTCGTGTATTACATTATTTGAATATTGAAGATTTATTTCAATTAAAAGTGACCAATCAATTACATTTTGCCAGTATTCGTGCAGCTATACGTGTTCTAAGAGAGAACAATGTAATTATAATCAATTTTTATATCTTTGATTAATTTTAACGATTTTGTTGTTGTTGTTATTCAGTACAATGGACAATGTCTTAAACGAAGAGCTGGCCCGGATGAAGTGAATCAAAATGAATGGAATAATTCAGAAGTGGCTGTATGGTCTTCACATCGTATAATGGAATGGTTACGCAGTATTGATCTATCTGAATATGCACCAAATTTACGTGGTTCAGGTGTACATGGTGCATTGATACTTTATGAAAATGCATTCAATGCAGATCTATTTGCTACATTGTTAAGCATACCGTCAAACAAAACATTATTACGACGACATATTTCATCAAAATTTAAACAATTAATTGGTGATCAATTAAGCAAAATGAAACAAGAATATGAATTGATGCCTAATTATCAACAATTGGTACCTGGTGCCAAAATCAAAGTAAGATTCAATATTCTTTTTGTTTCATTTTGCTAAAATACTTTTCCACTTACAACAGGCATACAAAAAAGGACATTTTACCCTGAGAAAGAAACGTGCCGATTTTGAATTAACAGATTATGTTTGTCCAATGGGTACTGTTGTTCAAACACCATTAACGAAATATAGTGCATTACGTGATAGTAATATAATGAGAAATGAATCAATAAAAAAAGAAGATTCACCAATCAGTATAAAAAGTGAAGACAATGCTATTGTAGATCGTTTATCATTGAAATCTGAATCAAAAAAATCGAATACTATTGATAATTTGAATGATGATCAACATTTAAATCAAAATGGCAATCTTACCGACAATATTGATATTGAACGTAAATCAGACCAAATCAGTGATTCAAAATCAAGTCCTGAAAAAGAAAAATTATCTAGCTAAAAAATAAAATTATTTAACAATTACATTTGTATTTTTGAACTGTTATTCAGGGAATAAATATATTCTTTATACACACAGGATTATTTTATCGTTTTCTTTTTGTTTCTCGTTTGGATTTTCTACGTTTTTTATGAATGTACGACTGATGATGACGACGATGTATTGATTTTCGTTTTCGATGATCAATTTTTGAAGATTTTAATTTACGCGGTAATGCACGATGACGATTTCTTTGTCTTGCAGATATATCATCTTCTTCACTGTCTTCAGTGGTTAAAGATCTGATTAATGATCGTGGTTTTTTACTACCTTTTTTGAAAGAATATGGTTTTGTGGTTTCTTCAACGATTGATGGTTGATTATCATTGGCAATCAATTTTGTATTTGATGTTGCTTTTGTTGTTGTTGTTGTTGTTGTTGATGCCCATTGATTCTTAAGGCTTTGTGGAGCTTTAGTTGAATAGACAAAAACTGTTTGATCATCAACATGAATTGCTTCATCATCTTTTACCGAAAGTTTTTTTTGTTCTGTTTCGTTTGTTGTTGTTGTTGTTGATGTTAATGAATTGAGATGTTCACCATCATTTTGACAATCTTTAAGGAAAAAATTACTATTTACAATAAAATAATCAGAACGTAAACTTTTCGTCTACAGTTGTTAATGGAAAAAAATTGAATTTTTTTTTTAAAAATACAATCAACAATTAGACAATCAAATTTACTTACATTACATTCATCCGAAGTAATTCCATTACGGCTTTTAATACGTATTTTATCTTCATTATTTGATGTTTCATCAACTTTATAGATGATTGTTGTATCTGGTGGTATTAAATTATTCAATGTACGAGACATGGCTATAGAATTTGAACGAGGATTATATACAATATAAGCATATTCACATAATTCTTCCGTTGTTGTTTTCAGATTTTTTGTTGGGCTATTATTACCAAAATGATTGAGTTGTTGTTGTTGTTGTTTTTGTAAATCAGAAGATACTTTTGTTATAAACTGATCATTTGAATGTATCGATTGTTGTTGTTGTGGTTGCTGTTGTTCATCAAACGATGTTTGTTTATCATCATTGACCACAACATTAAAATCATTATCATTATTGTTCTGGCTATTTAATTTATGTGTCAAAAATGTTTGTTTATCAACATCATTTCGGTAATCATTATAATCATTAATAACTTGACTACTACTACGATGTTCATTTCTTCTGGTTGTTGTTTGTTTTTTCATACGTTTATTATTTCGTTGTTTTGTTTGATTTAAACTTGTATCATCAAAACTTGATAATGATTCATCCAATGAATTATTATCATCCATACGATATTTACGATAATTTTTTTTCCATTGAATTGATTTATGTCTTCGTTGTCGTTGTTGTTGTCGTCTTCGTTGTTGTTTACGTTTTTTTCTATTCGATTCTTGATCATAATCTTGATCATCAAAATCCGTACAACAGAAAAATATGTTATCTATTATTTGGAAAATCAAAAATTAAAATTAGGATTTTTCGAAACATTGAAATCATTCAAAAAATACATTACATTTATTGGAAATATAAGCAAATAACGGTAAACTAATAAGAAACAAAACAAATAGGAAGAAATTCATCCTATAGGTTTGATTATTATTCAAGACGACAATAGCCAAGCATTTATAGAGAATTTTGGTAAGAATAGAAAAAAAAATTTCAAATTCAAATCAAATTACCGATTCGATTGATTTTCTCCATCACATTTAAAAAAAACCCATTAATATTCGATTATGGACAACAAACAATCAAACAGCAGAAAAATTTATCCTGAAAAAAAACAAATTTGGGTCAGTGAGAAAAAGTACGTTATGTGAAAAAAAAAGAAAAAGAAAATCTACCTAATTCCATAATGCGCTTGCAAATATTACGAAATGAAAATGCAAAAAATGGACATTTATGATGAATGGATAAAAAATAATTTGCATCTGGCACGCGTTTTTTTATTTGTATGTTTGTATTTTTGATTGATTGAGATCAAAGAGTAAAAAACGAACCAAACGAACGAAAAGGCTTATATGATGATGATGATGGCAACAGCCAATGATGATGGTCAGCTGGTCAATTCATAATAAATAAAAAACTAGGTTATTGGTGACCGAATGGATTAGTTTTTTAGTTATTTTTTTTTAGTTTTTGTTTTCATCCAAACAGCCGTTTACTCTTTCGCTTTTTGTTGTTTGTCTCTCGAGTGTGTGTGGTACGTGCACGCGTTTTTACATAGTATGTGTGTGCAATATGCGAAATATTCAATCGATGATGATTACAATCGATGATGATAATGATGATGATGATGATGATTCCGACCACGTGCGCCTAAACATTAGATCCGACAAACAACAACAGCAGCAGCAGTCGGGATATAAAAAAAAGGGTAAATAGCCGAATGATTTTTTTTTGTCGTAAAAATCGATTGAAGAGAAAAGCTAAATGGAAAAACAAAAAACAAAAAATATATATCGGACAACGAGCGCGGATGTATGGGTCAAACAAAAGTTTTTTTTATTGCATTGCATTGTGGATCGATTGAGTCATTTCCATCATGATGATGATGATTTCAGAATGACCAGGACGAGTGACTTGAAATGAATGAACGAATGAATAAACAAGGATACTAATTTTTTTTTTTTTTTTTTTTTTTTTTTTTTTTTTTTTTCCAAAAAATAATTAAAACAAAAAAAAAAAAAAATGTTATT